TATGTCCACAGTTCCCTATCCAAAACCTTAGGAGCCGGACGGATTTCAGAATTCTGACCCTTCCCGAAGTTCATTAAAAAATTTTTCAGATATGAGAAGGTAACAGTTCATATACTGTAAAAAGCTTAATATCCCCAGTAGGCTCTGGGGTAGCACCGTAAAATCACATCCTTCAATATTTCTGCAGCAAAAACATGATTCACCCTAAAAGAGAGAAATAAATTATACATAACCTCACATGATGTTAGAGTTAGTTTTTGCCAACAAACGAGTTACAAAAAACATTGGTTTTCAGAATTTTTGGATTTTGCGGTCACAAAGAAGGGACTGAACACCTGTACATGTTCTTGGGTTCCAGCCAAGACTGTGTTGTGGCCAACAATCCTGTGGTGCCATTCCTGCTCCCCTGTGACTCTCATAAGTACTGTCCTCCGTGAGTCCTCGGGGTCCAGTTGGGGTGCAGAGTGGGAAGACACGGTGCCAGGTCACCTCGCCTCCCTTATCTGATTGTACATGTGGCCCCACCTCAGCCGTGAGTGGTGTTCCCACCCTGGCCCCATGGTTGTCTCAGGATTGTTAAATCACTGTGCTTGCCCAGAGAGAGAGGTGCAGTGGGTGGTGCTTTCAGGAGAGGGAGGATGGAGGTTGGGGGAGGGTTGTGATGTGTAGGGTGGGTGTTAATCCCTGCATTACTCCCAGATATCCCCATTGTACTTTCCAGAATCTTTAACTCTACTTGTAGAAATAGAGAAAGGGTGAGAATTCAGCTGATGCTTCAGTTGGGCACATCGACAGTATGTGAGACCATTTGGGGTTTTCACAGAAGCCAACTGCATGCTCAGGGCTGGGAGGAGGGTAATTCAAACGCTCAGTCCTCCTCACCTTCACTTTCTCCTTTAAGTGGCTCTCGGTAAGCAGCTGCCCTTGCCCTCAGTGGACCCACGGGTTGACCTTTGAGAAAGCACAGGGGATAGCTCATCAGCTGTGCCCAAACCGCTGACCATGGGCTAATAAATTCTGCCCCAGGATTGGGGAGGGGTTCTCTGCCCTGTCCCCAATTCTGCTTCAAAGCCATAGCCATTTGCTGGCTGAGAGTCTGTGGCCTGGAATGTCCCCTGCAACTGATTCTCTTTCCAGTGAGGTGCTCTTAGCTAGAGACCCTCCAGGTGATCTCAGGAAAGGGGTTAATTGTAGAGGCCAGGGAAGGGGACTGGTGTACAGCCAGAATCAGGGCAGCGTTCTAGGCGCTCCCATCCGCTCCCTGTACTTCCCTGCTGCCCAGTTGCCCCACTCCTTGACTGGTTCCTCCAACTTTCCAAATTCAAGGAGGAATGAGTTCCGTCTGGCTTGTCTCCAGGTGCTTTCTTACCTCTCCGATGAAGGAGGTAGGGATGGAGGAGGGGGCAGATGGGGGCTACCTGGTGTAAGCAGTGACGCATATGAGGTCTTCCCTGGGGAGGAGGGCAGGTCCTGAAGGTCAGGCAGGCAGCGTGCATTTCTCTATTTTACTTGCCCAAGATCACACAGCCCATCCGTGTCAGAGCTGGCACTGAATACCAGGTCTCACTGGCTTCTTTTTCCTCCATGACACTATCAACCCAGGAGTCTCTGGAAGAAGAAAGTCAACTATACGGGTTTTAAAAAGAAATCGAATCCACTAATTAGGGTTCCTTGTTGCTGTGTGTAGCACCTGGCTTTACTCTGAGGCCAGAGATAAAGAAATAGGAGTAAAAAGAGGCCCAAGGTGCTAAGAAGTGGCTTTCTTGTGTCTCTTCTTGTCTCTAGGTCCTGAAGAGCAGGCAGGTGGGTGGGAGGAGATGGGGGTTCATGGGCAGGACCCAGGGCTTGTGAGGGAAGAACTCCTCTGAGGTGTGGCTGCACAACACATCAGGTCAGTGCCGGGGACAGGCAGCCATGACCAGGCCAGTCACCTGGGGCCGCCTGCAGGTGGGTATCCTTGTGCTCCCAGCCAGCTCTGCCTGGCGTGGGTTCCATTAGTTGGCATGATGGTCCTCGAGCATCTTAGGAGCCTTCACCTTGGAGATGACAGCCTCTGGTTTCTAATTAAGGCTCTCTCCACTACCATCTTTTAGAAAGCTTTTTACAGACTTCTGTTTTATTTCCTAACATTTTGATGAGTCCACATATCTCCCACTTTCAACCTTAAATCACTTAGAATCTTCTCATACAATAATCCACACCTGTGATCTCATTCTGATTGAACAGCAGAGTCCTTACAACGCAAGGACCGGGTTTTAACGTGATGAGGTTCCTCTACTTCACTGACTATATCTCCTATTTTCCCTCCCACTGAACACAGTGGCCTCCCCTATCTTCTTCACATAGCCAAGCCCGCTGGGCTACCTCAGGGCCTTTGCTGCTGCTGCTTCCTCTCCTATCCCTGTCCCCCAGAGTCTCCTACATATCACTTGGTCCATTCTCTCATTCTGTTCTTTGCTCAAATGTCACATCTAGTGTTACCCACTGCCCTCCACTCCAACCTTCTCCCTCTTTCCTGTCTAACCCTTCTCCATAGTACTTATTATCATCGGGCCACTATGCATGTTACTTATTTGCTTATTGTCTTTCTCCCCACCCCACTGGAAAGTAAGCTCTGTGAGGGCACACATCTTTGCTGGTTTTGTTCACTGTGGGTTAAGTGAGTCTCTGCCATAAAGCAGGGGCTCAATGAACATTTACTGCGTGAATAAATCAAGACCTCTAGAACAGTCCCAGTGTGGACATGGAGTCTTTACATGGCTTCCTGTGTGCAATGGGAAGCCTTCAATGAGTAATCAATGACCCTAAAATATAAAAAGCTTCAGCACCCCTGCAAATGAACCAAGGCCAGACCTTTCTCAGGGTCTACAACTTATGGAAGCAGTAAGATCAGCTCTACACAAGAGCGAAGTAGATGATTTTTTTATTGGTGCCTTCCATCACTCTTTTCCTTCTTTTATGCTTCATGACTCTGGGCCAACACTGGGCTAACCCCTAATCCTCCCCATAGGACATCAAGTGATAAAGCTTTAAGGTGTTGGCTCCCAGGAGCAGTCATCCTTTAGAGAGAAATCCTGAAGACCAAAAGTTGGCCAGGATCAGAATGAATGAATCTCACCTGGTAGAATTTCAGATTCTGCATATTTGGGCCTGGGGGCTTAATTTGGAATTCTTTGAGTTACTGGCCAGAAACAGAAAGTCAGCGGTTCCTAAGCAACGAGCCTGTAACATTGATCAATTTGAAGCCAAGGCAGCAAATATAGATATTGTCACTTCTCCTATACATCCTTCTCATTTACATACTGTAATAATAAAACCTTGAAACTTCCAAGTCTGAGCTCATTTCAAAGCCAAATCTATCTTTATCTTTTCCTCCTGTATTATAGGGTTCCCCTGCTACAAGATCAAGATCTTCAGCAACTCCTATCCCAAATGCAGGCAGGCATAAGCATGTGTGCACACACACGTGTGTACACATACACATACACACACAGCTTTTGCCTCCTATGCACCTCAAATACTCCCAAATTCCATCCTCTGTTCCTTTTCCAGGTTCATTCCACCTAATTCCCTCTTCCATCTCCCACCCGGGGCCTCTTTGCTTGATTTGTCTATTCAGTGGCATCTCAATGATTGGAAAAAAGACTGGTGTGAAGGGGCTCAAAAGACTCTTACCAATCAACCGTCAAGGCCAGTCAGCAATTCCTGGGGCCCGTGCTTGTGAATATGGGTTCAGAGCAGGGCAAGCAGAGCTCTGGCTTGGACCTTTCTGGCTTACTGGAGGTCACCCCAAATCAAAGAAACCCAAGATGCTGGGTTCATTTGGAGTCCTTTGTGAGCTGACTTAGCATGGCCGGGCTGAATTAGATGCCCCACCCCAGCCCCTGCTAGTCTCCTCTTCTCCTTCTACATGCTTCTTAATCTGCTCCAGAACTGACTGGGGGACTCTCAGGGCATTTCAAGTCACACCTCCACCCACTGCTACTACTGTATGGCGTAAAAACTCGGCCCCCCGCCCCATGCCCTACTCGGTTTTTATACTCATCTCCTGGGCAAACTAGTCAAGTCTAGAAGCTCCAGGTATCTTTATGCTCTTGAGCTCAAATTTAGAGTTAGGCCTCCCACTCTGGCCAGAGGTCAAGCCCCATGTCTCAAGTTATCATCTGGACATTTCCCTAGTGTGTCCTCGTTAACATCGGCTTACTCCCACAGCCAGTCAAGTTGGCACTCTCCACATTTGTCTGGATTATTTCTTTTTCTTTATCTTAAGCACCCATCAAATATTATCTATAAGATCAACATATAAATCTCTCTCTAGAATGACAGCTTCACTCAAAAATTTACAGGACTAGATTAGCTTGTGTGTTTTCTAGGGCTGCCGTAACTGTAAGTACCACACACTGGGTGGCCTAAGACAATAGAAATTTATTGCCTCCCAGTTCTGGAGGTTAGAAGTCTGAAATCAAGGTGCTGGCAGGGCCATGCTCCCTCTGAAACCTGTAGGGAAATTCTTCCTTGCCTCTCTCCCAGCTTCTGGTGGTTTGCAGGCAAACTTTGGTGTTCCTTGGCTTGTAGATGCATCACTCCAATCCTCCATCTCCACGTGGCACTCTCCCAGTGTATTTCTGTCCTCATATGGCCATCTTCTTATAAGGACACCAGTCATATTGGATTAGGGGCCCACTCTACTCCAGTATGACCTCATCTTAACTAATTCTATCTGTAATGACCCTACTTCCAAATAAGGTCACACTTTAATGTACTGGAGGTTAATACTTCAATGTATCTTTTTTTGGGGGGGGCGGTGGGGGACACAACTCAACCCAAAACAAGTGGTAAATGAGTTGACATTACTTATATATTAAAATGAATACATATGTATAAGAAGAAGGAAAAATTCACATGCATTGCTAAGAAAAAAATAGCAACTTCAAAGGCATTTTCATCTTGTGGTGGCTGCTTGAGTTCCCCTCTAAGATCTTCAAGGATACAACTTTCACCTGTCTCTTCATCCTCCTCCATCTTCAGGGCTTCCTTGGTGGAAAAGTTTGAGAGGCGCTGATAAAGAACCATGGCTGGTCTATCTGTTAGGAGCTGGTTTGGCTGCACAAAACTGAACACCCACCTCGCAGCCCCTTGACTACATCAGAGTCTTCCTTTTCTTGTATGTTTCTGTGGAACAAGAAGTCTGGAGGTGGGCAGCTCACTCAGCCATCAGTACCATATGCTTCTGTCCTCACGTGCACCCTCTCGTAGTCACACAGTGGTCTCTTCACCTCCAGCATCTTGTCTGTATTCCAGAGAGGATAAAGGGCAAAGGGCATGCACATGCCCAGTTTGAACTCTTTCTTGTGAGCCCTGCCCAGTTCTTTCTACTTGTATCTCATTGGCCAGCACCCTGTCACATGGCCACCATAGCTGGGAAATGGAGTGTTTTAGCCAGGCATGGGTTCTGATAAGAAGGAGAGAAAGGATTTTGGGTAGACAACTTGCAATGTCTGCCCCAGCTGGCTTTCTCCATTTCTTTTGCTTCATACCTTTGTGCCTGGTCCAGTTCTAGGCACACAGGAGACATGCTGATGCTTGTGTACTGATTGCAAAGGATCTCCTCATCTTGTAGGCAAGATATTAAACACGAACGGTGTAAATAATATAATGCAGTACATGATCAAATGCCAGAACAGTGGGTCCTGCAGAATACAGAGGAGGGAGAGATCAATTTGAGTTATGTAGGAGCTTCATGAAAGGGGGTGAAATTTGAGCTCAATTTTGAAGGTTGGGTAGGATCAACAGCAGCTGTCATGAAACCCTGTTTAGATCCCCCTACACACGCTCAGATGGCAGAAGGAAAAAAACCTGCGTGCAGCCTCTTTCTCTTATTGCAATCTGGGTGAGCCGTAATGCATGTCCCACACTCAGGCACAGGTCTTTTATATTGCTTTCTTGGAAATGACTCTACCTGAGATGGGAGAATTGGTCACTATCTGGGTCTCAACCCTAGAGAGATCTTTTTGCCCAAATACACATTGATCATTCCCTCTTCACCTGATCCCCAATAGCAGTACTACCACGCATTCACTTTCCCTTTCAGGCCAACTCCTAACCCCAGAACTTGCCTCTACCCAAGAACCCTCCAACACAATTTGGCTTTTTCCAGCTGTCCCAAGTACTATCACTAAGGTATTGCCAGTCTTTCTGTGGCTGCATGATATCCCGTCTGTCCCCAGCAGTTTTTATTATTCAAATTCTTGCCCTTTCTCCACCATTTAGGCAGCAGAGGGGGGCTCTGTATTCACGACCGTCAGGGTAGAGTTACAATGGGAGGGATACAAAGAGAAAGAAAGAAGTCAGCACTTGGCTTCTGAATTTTGAGAGACACTTCAGAAACCCATGGCCGAGGTCATAATTGGAGGGAAAGGTTTTTTGAATATTTAAACTGAGTCTCTTAAGAACACAAAGGTTATGCCATAAACAATAGATTTGGAAGAAAGCATGGTAAAACGGGAGTGAGGTTTTCTTCCTGCAGGGGAATTAATTTTGTAATTTGGGGGAGAGGAGATGGATAGCATTAGACCCTGATGTGAGTCTCTGAGAAAGGAAGTCTGTGCCCAGGTAGGCTTGAGGGATCTGGAAGGAGGGAGAACTTGGCCTCACTTTCTGGGGTGGGGGTTGGAGGGTGGTGAGGTGGGTCTGAGCACCCCAGTGAGCAGTTGACTGTTTTCCTGAGAGGTTGGGAGTAGCTCAGGAGGGGTGTTGACTGCCAGCAGACCTCAAGAGGCCCCATGGTTGGGTGAGGAAGGGGCCAACAGCAGAAGGCAACAAGGTCATAGCAACGCCTGCAGTCCAGGCAGGAGTGTCAGGGACGGGCACAGACACAGGACACATCTGCACTGGTGCCAGCATGAATCCATGATGACTAAGGACCAGGTGCAACCTCCTCATCCCCACCCCACGCTGTGGTACCACCAATGCCTCTGGGAGCTTGGCTGCCACCTTGGGGAGGACATAAGAGGGGGAAGGCACTCAACTAACAAAGAAAGTCCCTGGAGATGGAGTTTTCCCTGAGCTAGCATTAAGCTTTCTGCCATGAGGGGGAATGGGAGCTGGGGACAGAAATTAACTTGGAGAAAAACAAGAAAAGGGAACATTGTGAGCACACCTGAGCTAATGGCCTATGAAATTTGGACCTACCGCATTTTTTCTTTTTGAGACACTGCACTTACAATTTTAAAACAACTTTTAAAATAAACTTTTATTTTAGAACAGATTTAGATTTACAGAAAAGTTGTAAAGGTAGTATAGAGTTCCCATATACCCCACACCCAATTTCCCCACATTACTTACAATTAATGAATCAGTGTTGGTACATTATTATTAACTAAAATTCATATATTATTCACATTTTCTTAGTTTTTACATAATGTCCTTTTTGGTTCCAGAATCCCATCAAGAATACTACATTACATTTAGTTGTCATGTTTCCTTGGGCTTCTCTCAGCTGGGATAGTTTTTCTAACTTTCCTTATTTTTTAAGATCTTGACAGTTTTGAGGAGTACTGGTCAGGTAGATTGTAGAAAGTCCCTGAATTGGGATTGGTCTAATGTTTTCTCATGATTAGACTGGGGTTATGTGCTTTTGGGAGGAAGACCACAGAGGTAAAGTGCCATTTTCATTACATCAAGGATACATACCACCCACATGATTGATCACTGTTAATGTTAACCTTGTTCACGTGGCTGGAGTAGGGTTTGCCAGGTGTCTCCATTGTGAAGTTACTCTCCCGCCCCTCTTTCCATTTTGTAATCTTTGGAAGGAAGTCAGTATGTGCAGCCCATAGTTAAGGAGAGGGGAGTTCTATTCCATCTCATTGTGGGCAGAGTATCTACATACATGATTTCAAATTCTTCTGCATGGGAAATTTGTCTCTTCTTTCCCATTTATTTACCTAATCACTTATTTATATCAGTATGGACTCTTGGATATTTATTTTATACTTTGAGTTATAGTCAAGTGTTGCTTTATTTATTTTGTTGCTAAAGTTGTTCCAGCTTTGGCCCCTGGGAGCTCTTTCAAGTGGTTCCTGTGTTCCTTTGACAGACCTCCATCATTGCTGTGGTTGTTGATTTAAAAAAAACTTTTTTTGAACACTTCCTTACCTTCTGGCACAACAGGATGCTCTGGGCTCATCTTGTGTATTTCCTGCCTCAGTCCTAGAGTCAGCCATTTCCCCAAGGAGCCCTGGTTCCTTTTATTGGAGAATGGTGTTAAAAACAGGGTCTGAGTGCCAGGTGTGCTGTTGCTACTGCAGGTGTGCTGTTGCTACTGCAGTGTCGTTTCTAAGTCCACTCAGCTGACAGAGCAAGGAAATATGTGTATGTGTACTAACCTGTGTATATACACATATCCATAAATCTTTTTATATATCCATCTGTATTTATGTTAAGCTAAACATGAGTTCATATTGATGTCTCCAACTCGAATCCAATACCACATGGATCTTTCTAGCCTCCTCCCCCTGGTTATCTGTAACCTCCCTCTCCAATAGTGAAAAACCTGGTATGCACCACCCAGCATTCATTTATTTAATTGTTCAGTTCCAGTATACATGTATAGTGGTTTCATCATCCAGTTGCTGTTAATCAATGTTGTTTCTGCTTCTCCTTGTTTTCCGCATCACTAGATCCTTTAACCTCTGACACCCATCCTTTCTGCTCACTGCTCTTGTAGCCACGTCATAGGCATTTTGAACTTGAATACTTGTCAAACGCTGGTTTGACATAGACCTTCCATAAAGCTGGATGTCGCCCACCCCCCCATTCCCTTTGGTTTCCCCGGCCCCCATCACCTTTCTCATTCTTTACATTTTGGTGGGGTAAGGACGGAGGGGAGGTGGGTCTGGAATCTCATTTTACAGACAAGGAGGCTTATGCCCCCATGAGTTGAGGCTTGCCCCACTCACCTCCGGGTTTTCAAGAACTTTCTGTTCATTCAACCACTATTATGGAGCCCCATCTACGTGCCAGCGCCGGCGCTGCGCCAATGAGCGACACACCGGCCCGATGTCCAAGTCACCGGGCCCCGCGGGCGAGATCAGTAATAAGCAGCTCGAGCGCTCGGAGGACGGTGCTCGCGGTGCAGGACCGAGCGCCCCGGCGGGGGGCGCTACGCCGGGCCTGGAAAGGTCCGGCCCAGCCGGTCAGAGCGTTCCTCCTCCTTCCAGAGGTTCGAGCTGCCCGGGAGGAGGAGAAGGAGCAGGACCGAACGCTCCCGCGGCCGCCGCCGGCCCTCTGGGCGCCCCGCAGCCCGGCGCGGCCCCGCCCCTCCCGCCAGGCCCCGCCCACCCGCCGAGCCCACGCTCGGGCCCCTGACGATGTTCGCCGGAAATTGCCGAAGCCCCTCTTTTTCCTTCCTCTCCCTTCCCTGCTCTCCCTTTTCCTCTCACCCGGGTTCCCTCGGCCGTGATTTCCCCCCTCCCCCTCCTTCCTTCCCTATTTGAAATCAAGATGGAGGTTCGCGGCTGTCGCCGGCGCCCGTGATCCCGGAGCTCCCGCCGGCCACGGGCCCCCGCCCTCGCGACTGCGTGTCCGGCGCGGCGCGCGCTGCTGCCCGCGC